TCGTGCTTCCAGTACATTGACATGTACCTCATTTGATGCAGCTTGTTTGATTTCCTGCAATGATTGTTGTTGAATCATGGGTGAGCCTGGTGTGTTATCTGGAACGTCACAGGTAAGGATAGAGTGATCATCTTCCTCATTCTCCAGGGATTCTCCGGCATCTGAATATGTTCGTCTTGAGATGGCGTCAGCGTTGCCATGCATTACTCCTGGTCGCACAACAACAGTCATATCGTAAGACATAAGGTATGTTACCCATCGCGCAATGCGACCGGTTGGTTCTTTCACAGACAACAACCACTTTAACGCTGAATGGTCAACTACCACTGTGAATTGAGCATGTCGAAGCAGATAATCAAAATGCTTTACCGCGAAAATAACGGCTAAACATTCCTTTTCTGTGATAGTGTAGTTTCGCTCAGGTTTGTTCATAGACCTGCCCGCATATGCAATGACTCTTTCCACTCCTTGCTGTTCTTGACACAGAACTGATCCAACGGAAAAGGAACTGGCATCTGTGTATAATACAAAGGGGGCATTGTAGTTTGGATATGCAATTACAGGTGCTCTCATGAGGTTCTGCTTGAGACTTTCAAATGATGTTTGACACTCTGTAGTCCAGGTGAATGGTGTATCTTTCTTAGTCAACTGGTTCAAAGGATGAGCAAGTTTTGCATAATCACCAATGAATTTTCTGTAGTAACCGCTGAGACCTAAGAATGCCCGAAGATCTTTCAAGGTAGTTGGCTGAGGGTATTCACGAATAGCAGAGAGCTTGTCAGGGTCTGGAGCGATGCCTTGTGGAGTGACGATATGGCCAAGATACTGTATTTTATTATGACCAAAGAAGCATTTTGATGGAGACAGTTTCAGGTTTGCAGTCCGCTATCTTTCTAAAACCTTTCTGATATGAGTCATGTGTTGAGCAAAGTCCTTTGAGTAGATGATGACGTCATCTAAATAGATAAGGCATGATTTCCATGTCAAGCCTTTCAATACTGTTTCCATCACTCTCTGAAATAAGGCAGGAGAGTTCTTGAGCCCCATAGGAAGCCTTCGAAACTGGAATAGTGCAAGATGACATTTAAAGGCAGTATACTCTTTCGACTCAGGGTCGATCATGAGCTGGTAAAACCCACTTTGTAAGTCTAAGGTGGTAAAGAACTTGGGTTGTGCATGACCAAGACTTTCAAGGCACTCATCAGTGGTTGGCAAAGGATGGGCTAGGAGCTCTGTGACGGAGTTCAAATTCCTGTAGTCGACACGAATCTGTGTTGGTTCTTCTGTTTCTTTGTCACAAGAAAACATGGACTTGCCCAAGGACTCACTGAATCCTCAATAATTGATGCATGTTTCAAGTGCAGCTTTTTGTTGAGGGCCTAATCTGTATGATCGTGATCTAATTGGAGCTTGCTCCTGCTTCACTCTAATTTTATGGGTAATAATGTCACATGATCCAACTTTACCATGAAGAGCAAACACATCTGAGTATTCATCAATCAATGATGTGAGGTCCTGTCGTTGATGTTCGGTTATCTCACTGTTGTCTGGAGGAAGATTGACGAACTGAGAAGCTTTATCTGAACCTTTATCATGATGAGAGATGGGTTTAGTTTCATTCGCAACTCTGTTTACACTAAACGTTTGTTCATCCACACCTTCTTCTCCAAGGTAGTACAAACTGTCATCCTTGCTGAGACACACAAACATTCCTATATAAGTTCCCTTTGAAATTCCGACTGGTTCATCAGACAAGTTCACTAGGCGCTGATATACATGATTATCATGTACATGACATAACACCTTGGCACATAAAACACCTTCAGCATAAGCACAATTTCCAGTCTCACTAATGCCTAACACAGTGTTGGGAAGAGGGTTGCCTTTAAGCTTCGCAAGAATAACTATCTCTGAACGTGGAGGGATAGTTACATTTTCTGCTGCAACAGTCTGTCTCCTAGGGTCTATAGACAGTGTATTGTTGCTAAAATCAAGCAGTGCGTTGTGACTTGACAGAAAGTTCAGACCTAAAATAAATTCTGTGTTCAAACCTGGAACAAGGTAAAACTTTACATTTAATGGTGTCTGGCCAAATCTCACCTGCAAAGTAACAGTCCCTTGAATTTCTACCTTTTCATCACTTGCAGTAATTATATATGTTTTGTCAGATTTCTGAATTGGTGCAAAATGAAATAATTTGTTGGCAATGGTTTCATATTTTGCTACACAAAAATCTGCACCAGTGTCAAGGAGGGCATAATGTTTGTTCTGACCTATGGAAATTGGGACAAAGTTCTTTAAGACAGGTAAAGAAGTCGTTGATAGCCTAATGGTATCATTGTTTTCACCGAGTCCACCTAGAGCCCCATCGTTCTGGGTGGACTTTGTTAGTTTTCCTGATTAGAAGTGCATTGACTTGCGAAATGACCATTCTGTTGGCAACGTCGACAAACTACTTTCGCCATTGGTTTTTTCATGTACTTGGGGCAATTTCTCGCTGTGTGACCAGGTTCGAGACACAGTTGACACGTAACTGTGGATGAGGTCACGGTATTCACCATGTTCACAGGGCACTGTTCTTGGGGTTTGCCCTTCAAGGACATGATAAGGTCCAGCATGGTTGTTAAAGTTTGGTCCTGCTTGTTCACCTGGTCCTCCAACTTTTTAAGTTTAAATGAGCTTTGGTCCTGTGGGGTGCTGTTTCCCCCATAAGCGATTGATTCAGCTGCTATTCGAGCCGATTGGATGGCTGCTTGACATGTTGTGGGTTGTTGTTGAATTACAAATGTTCGTAAATGAGGCAAGAGGCCTCTCACAAAGATTCGCATTTTTTCATCGTCCGGTTTAGACAATGTGCTGCATTTGGTTTCAATGGCATTAATATAGTCCTCAAGTGGTTCACACTCACCCATTACTCTTTCAAATAATTGTTTTTCAATCAACCAAGGTTGTTGAGAACTCTTGAAGTTTGTTATAAACCGATGGTAAAGAGTTTTTCTATTTTTCCTGTCCTCCTCCGACAGGGTTTTGAACCACTGAACTGCCCTCCCGTCCAGCATGAGACGAAAAACATTTGGTGTATCAGTGTCAGATAAGCGGGACAGTTGGCGCCATGCGTCGAATTTTTCCAACCATAGTTCAGGGTCTTCTGACACATCCCCGGTAAAACAATGCGGCTTCAAATTGCCTACACCAGAAAAGGGCTTAGTGGTTTTACATGTTTCAAAATCTTCATCGCTAATTTCTTGATGTTTGGATTTCTTGGGCGGCATGGTCGGGAAAATGGCGGCAATCAAAGATGTACAAGGCAAGGAGGGTTTACTCACGTAAACAGAGTGAATCAACGTCCTTCATACTTAATCGATCGGGATCGTTGGCATCTCCACCATATATGTGACAGCTGTGTTGCTGTCTTACTTGTGAACACATAAACCTCAACCCGTTTTGGGGAGTTAAACATTCTTCTTTATTCGCAGTGAGTGTTACATGGCGCCAAACTCACAATTCACAACAAAACTGGAGTTTCCTCCCTTTTCATCATAAAAAACGGACAAGTAACATACTTAACCGAGCAAAACCCGTGTATTCTAGTAAGAAATACACATGACGGGTTGACATATCCGTCACAATAGTGTCAACGGTAGTGTGTATGACTTCATATATCATGAACTGTGCGGTCTACAACATAAGTATAAACAGTTATAATATTTGTTTGTAGTAGAGAACACAATCATTGCATATAAGACACTTTCACTCCGCACATCGCTAATATCTCATATTATATTACGTCGACAAGGAAATAATATTATATCTTTTTGCAACTAATCAACTTTAATCTTTAACATTGGGCTTATATACTCATGCCATTAATGGTTGTCATCCCCTTCCCCACCCCAACCACCGACTCACCCCACAACCCTACCCCACACACCCTCTCCAATAAAAAAATTTGAAGGGGGTGACAACCATTATTGGCTTGAGTATATTTCACATCCTTGGGGATATTTTAGTCTGACTATTTTTTTTGGTCATTCATATTTCTTCAGCGAATTCATTTATGACAGCCAGGTTACACGTATGTTCAATTTGTAAATATTTTGAAGTCAATTTTGAATAATTTCGTGCTTTGAAGTTTACACAGATTCCCGAACGGTGGTTGGTTGAGAGAGCGGTCATGTGATCTAAACTTCAAGGTTCATTTCCCTTGAACCCTTCAAATCGTTCATACGTGTGTGAACGTTTCCGAGCCGATCTGGGTCATGTGAACTTTTGCCGGAACTACTTTCCGGGTTTTCCCCAGGATACTCGCTGTCCAGCTTGACGTCAACAAAATAAATCATTTGCATTCACACTCCTTTTAATTTATGCATATCACTTACTTGTTTTTGTACGTAACAAAAAGCGCCAACTAAGCACAGTTTTGCAAAATCTGACCGACAACGCGTCCCACTACAAGTCCCAGCCAGTGCGACCTATTTTTCAAATTTCCGCTACGGTTTCAAGGAGCCCCAATGATCGTGCTGCATTTGGTGATACCAACTTAGAGAGCGTTTGTGTAAACATCAAAGTGCGAAATTATAAGAATTGAATGTCACTTTGTGTGTTTGCACTGAAAAATGATCGATGTCAAAGCGTTGTTCAAACTCGTGTGAACGAGCGAGTTCACACGAGAGTTTGAACAACGCTTTGACATCGTTCATTTTTCAGTGCAAACACACAAAGTGACATTCAATTCTTAAGTATCTGCTTTGGCATTTAATGTAGCTGAAAGTTGTTTTTTTTCTATTTGCATATTCAATAAAATAATTGCCAGTTGTGATTATATAGAGGATATTTTGTTAATGTTGTCAAATAACATGTATATTTCAGCGAGTGGTCTGACAAAGTTGATATGTTCACGCGTGGCGCCTATTAATAAACCCTATTCAGAAATATAATTGGAAATACAAGGTGAACAGCTGGTAATAATTACATTAGAATATATGTTCAGCAAATATGTTTTATCAAAGAGGTTTAGTTCTATAAAATAAATAAGTAAAACCAAAAACAGCAATACAATGTATGAGTGCTTCGGTAATATATACAAACATTGGAATCAAACAGGGAAAGAGCACCAACAGAAAACGAAACAAAAACATTTCGAAAGTGATAGTAAATCTCTTTTCTGGTGAATGATTCTCTAACCATAAAGATGTGTCATTGAAACTCTTTTAATTATCAAGTCAAGTTGACATAATAATAATATCATTTTCAAGGTCGTTATTCAGGGTACTAGCAAGCAATATTTACATATACTGGTTACAGCCAATAAGGAAAACATGTTTCTCAATGTTATCAAATCTTGAGGGAAAGATACATTTAAACAAATGGAACCAAATAACCATCATCTAAATACAAGGAAAAAATATATTAATAGTCGGGTGAAAAATATTTTACATAAAGTTGAAAAATATTTCATGAGGCGAAGGGTTTTGCCACAATATTTCATCTGGGTTCATACCTGTCTTTCGGGCTTTCCTATCAGGTTTGTACAAGGGTGTACTTAAGCGTTCGTAGCACTACGCCAGTCTTAAGCCGGTGATATAGTAAGGAGTTACGATAGGTCGTAACGTAACGAACGCCTTGTTGATTGGAACCCAGATGTTGTAACTTATCGACTTATACGACAACCTTGTCATCGGGATTAAGCCCCAGGCTTTGGTAAGTTGGAGGACCGGAGGCAACGGCGTGGTCGTAGGATGGTGGCAGCCCAGGTGAACCTGCTGAAACACATGGCCCTTTCAACTCGGAGGCTTTGTCACTGCCTTTCGCGTTGCCCTTTTCAGCTGAAGCCTGACTTCGGCGTCTCTTCCGGCTACGAAGAACGCACACACAGACAAGGATGAGGACAGCCAGTGTCAGAACACCGGCGATAACCCCAAACATCATCGGGTGACGGTTGACCATGACGGGAAAGGCTGAAAACAACGTGCATCTGTTTATACATGTATCCTAAACTTCCCTTCACGTTAACATTCCATTACAAGACAAAGCAAATTTCACTTTACACAATGACAGTGAATCCTATTCAGGAAATCAATGGAATTTTACAACATTTCTGCGTGGCTGAACTGCACCTTTTTTGGGACCAATTATCTTTTGGATAACGAGACCATACACTTAAAGCGTCCTCTGTGATGGAACGTTTTTGGCTCTTTATTTTTTTACATTTAGCATAATTATATTATATTATAAAAAAACATTAAGCGCATCATTGTTTTCGGTAGACATCAAAATGCCTTAAATCCCGATTTTCTGACAATAAAAAGAGTTGCATATGAAATCTTAACGTACATGCCCAAAACACAAGAGAATCACCACACGACACAAAACAAAAAATAGCAGTGCAGTGTGTAGATATAAACAAAGAAAATATCATTATGTTACTAAAATAATGCAATGATACCATTTTGAATCTTTAAGCATGTTGTGAAACGGTATGATACAATGCACTTACCACATACGAAGAGAAAGCCGTATGCTATCTCAAATGTAGACCCAGGAGAATTGACATCAGAGTGAAACTTGACGTACAGGTACTTCCCAGAGCTGGATACAGAGACATCTTCACCTCGGCACCACTTTCCAAGAGACGGATCGGAAACATGGTAACCTAGGGCATATAAAACAACCCTGCTTATATCATGTATCTTTGCATCATTATACAAGACTGAATTGCTTGGCAGCGTTGTTTCTCAAAATAGTTATTACTAGTATGAGAAAGTTTATAGGTTATTAAACATGACTATTCAAACAATCCAATGCAGGGAACACATAAACGACACTATCTATACCCACTTTGGGATCGAACCAGGACCTTCTGTGTAACTACTACACTACATTGGGTATCAGGCAGAAACAGTTGTCAAGTATATATACAGTCATAAAAAATGCAATATTATTCTATGTTTGTGTGAGTGAGTGAGTGAGTGAGTTTAGTTTTACACCGCACTCAGCAATACTCCAGCTATTGAACCAGACAATCCAGTGGTCAACAGCATGAGCATCAATCTACGCACTTAAGATACAATGACCTGTGTCAATCAAGTCAGCGAGCCTGACCACCCGATCCCGCTAGTCGCCTCTTACGACAAGCATGCGTTACTGAAGATCAATTCTAACACGGATCCTCACCTGTCCTATGTGTATGTAGCAACATATGTATTATTAAAACATATGAGAACTACACGCAAAAATGTGTAAAAAGATTACCTACCATCAAACACTTCAATATAGTCTGTTACACATCCCTCAGAGTTCTGGAAGCTGGACAAATTCATACTGAGATCAATGATCGTTGCTGTGGTACGTAATCTCCAAGACAAGTCAACATTTCTGAAATTGAAATGAGTAACACATTGTTATGCAGTTCAAATAGTACATATAAATAGGTGTTTGAGATTAAGAAGACTGAAATATAGTCATACCATAAAGTGTAGCAATATATGTATAATTATACACGTAAATGTCATTTACATGCAGAGAGACACATACGCACACGCACATGCGCACACCAACATATTACCATCCCTAAAGATTCGGGTTAGATTTAATTTCTCTGTCGTAAGATGCGACTAACGGGATCGAGTGGTCAGGCTCGCTGACTTGGTTGATACATGTCATCGTATCCCAATTGCGAAGGTCGATGCTCATGCTATTGATCACTGGATTGTAAATACATTCAAAGTTAAAATGGCATTATCACTTGAATCATACACAAAGTTTAGATTCTCCAAATATATGGGGAAAAAGGTCAAAGTGGTAACAAGGGTTTATGATAATAGCCACATGAGACATGTACAAACACGATACCCCTTTGACAGTTTATATTTGTTTATATTTTAAATCCTCATTTTGATATTCTTGTTACTTTATGACCAGTCTTTACCTAATATTCTCGCGGCGGGTTTGCCTGAGCGGGGATATGACACTTCTGCTGTAATTATCATCGGATATTTCCTCATGACGATGCACTGTGAATATAAAGAATATGCTTACAATTGATCACGTGTAACAACAAACACTGTTATGTCGATGTTAAAGCAACCTAGGTAAATACTACTCGAGTTACCCAGGTTTCACACAACCACAAAATAGTTACTACGGAAGGAATAGACAGGGACCAAGCTTCTGCATCGAGACAACTGTATGTTCGACAATTGCAAACAACGGTGTGTGACTGTATAATTGAAAAGTATAATACTTTATAGCTAACAACTTCTTTCTTTCTTATGAAGCGACGTTTCGGTATAGCTTCTCATACCGTTGTCAAGCAAGAGTAAAGCAATACAGCACAGAACCGACTATTCGTTTCTATTATCCATCAACTTCTTAAATGCCAATCAAACAGACTGTTTAATTATTTAATGTTTAAGAGCAATAAGTTGGATCTAATTTGTGAAAACTGTACCACTGTTTTGCTTTTGAATTCATCCCGCAGCACTCTGTGAAGATCCGGGGTTCGAATTGATCTTCAGTAACCCATGTTTGTCCTCAGAGGCGGCTAACGGGATCGGGTGGTCAAGCTCGCTGATTTAGTTGATTTGATTGATTTGGGCGTGTACCAATTGAGAAGGTCGATGCTCATTGTGTTAATCACAGGATTGTTTGGTCCAGACTCGATTATTTACAGACCGCCGCCATATAGCTGGAATATTGCTGAGCGCGGGGTTAAACACCCTACCAACCAACTGACTCACCATGATAGTTCCCACTGGTGTACCGCAGCTCGAACATCCCCTTGTTGCTTGTGTTGAACTCAATCCTCATATATCTGCCTATACTGGTAAACGTTTCCAGTTTTTTCTTCCCAGCACAAACATCTCCCATCCTATAATCACGAGGGCCAGCTCCTGATATAACATATCGAAAGAAATGCGAAATGCTTTCTTCAGCTGATTCAGCACAAATAGTATCATAAATAATAAATATGTGTATTTAAGTGAATTCCATACATACTGTATGCTCAAAGCGCTAGCATACAAATGATTAAAACATTTTTCAGTGCATAAAGGAATGAATTGGCTGAAGATTTTGATTGGAGTTGGTAACATTTTCGAAAACGGAATCTTTTAAAGAACTTTTATAAGCTTCAATAGAGGGAGAAAGTCTCAGCTCATCTCGAAGAACATTAAGATGATTTACACCTCACCATCAAATACCGCCAATTGGTCCCCATAGCTTGATTTATCACAGGCAAGGACGGTTACTCTGACTTTTTCAGTCTCCTTTGCTTCAATTGTCCATGAACAGATCCATCCCCTGTGAACATATGATAAAGATGACTTACTAAACCTCTTCTTCACCTATTCTACCACGCCATAATCATTTTAACAAGCAGCGATTTGACTAGCATTGCCGTTTTATTATGGCCTGTGTGATTATGTCTAATATAAAACGCCATTGAAAACCCGGCCTCAATTATCTGAATCGATGAATAATACTGGCGTAAAAGGCAAAACACCGATCAACATAGCAGGACTGGATCAATGAAATTCAGTGATGGTAGCAGGTATTCGCGAAAAGAAAAGCCCAGGATGGTGTACGGCGTACACAGGAATACCACTTGTTTTAAAACCACAAGCAGGTACCCAGAGACCAAGGATCATATCGGGGTCAACTGACTCGGGGTCACCACTCGTTTGTGCTAAATATTTGGACATTTAGTCGGTTATAACTATATGTATATTAGCATTCAGTTAGTATGTTATGTTAGTATTCATATACTAACTTCATTCAAAGACAGTTCTCATTACGCTTCCTTTCCTTCTCTAGATCTGATACATAGAGTTCATTGAATGAAGAACATGCAGAACATGAAGAACATACTCCTGGAGATTCAGTGGATAGTGAGACGAGCTCAGCAGCTTCGGCGTTTCAGATGCCGAGAGGGAGATTGTACCACAAACGCTGGATGTTGTTGTCGTCGGACCAGTTGTGGTTGAGGTTTGTACTGCAAACAAACATCCTCAATGTCACCACAGGAAATAACTGCACGAATATCATCAATTAGTCTGGGAACATTTCAATGAAATTATAAAAATTCAACCTATTGCTGGCGATGTCAATATCGATCCCATCAAGATGCTATATCCACTGACATTAACAAGAATATGAACTTTTGTAGTGAGCACTAAATAATCCAGTAATATTTTCCTACCTATTTCAGATCATCCAAGAATCTGTATGGAAACGTCGCTGAATGCCTTAATGGATTTTGTATCCAAAAAGGTGTATATTTTCTTACCATTTCAGACTGACTGAGTTTGATTTTACGCCGCTTTTAGCAATATTCCAGCAACATCACGGCGGGGGACAGCTGAAATTGGCTTCACACATTGTACCCATGTGGGGATTCGAACCCGGGTTTTCGGCGTGACGAGCCAACACTTTAACCATTAGGCTACCCCACCATTTCAGATGCTAATGAAGACATGAAAACTAGAATGCTAGTATTTACCTGAGCTTACAGCTGGCACTGAAACCAAAATAAACGAAAACGTGTATACATATATGAAAAATAATTGATTGATCACGAATGTGTAGAGTCTTCCTTGTTTCGATAAATGTTAGTTTGTATATAATCCAAGCACGAATGACACACTTTTGGTGTCACCTTTTCCTTATAATTTGTTTATTTATCATATATGTAATACCGTACTCAACAACAGTTCCGCTGTGTCGAGTCGACCTGTAGATAACTGTGTCTGGTCATCGATCCACGTAACTGGGACACGATAACATTCATCAGTTTCATTCATCCGACCTGGGCATATTGAGTAGAACATGCTGGTGTGTATCAGAACAGATCGATTTGGTGATTCACTTTTAGCACGTCACACACAGTGCGAATATACAAGAATAGACTAGTGTTCGTGTGTAAATATTCACCTCTTTGGTGAAGCCTATGAGCTTAAGTATGGTGATCACGGACCCAGGATGATAATCAGTGCGAATTTGGGATTCGAACCTACAATAAGCAGATCTCGGTACAAGAAGATATGCACGGGGATTTGAGACGACATTTGGGAAAGTGGTTCACATTTGTGATTGAGAGAGAATGGTTCAGCGACGCATTTAGCAATATCACAGCGGTGACAGTCGAGATGGGATTCACACATTACACCCAATCTGAGGAATCGAACCCGGGTCTTCAGCGTGACGAACATACGCTTTAACAACCAGGGCCTAGATTTTCGAAGCTCTCTTAGCGCTACGATAGTCATAAGTGCCATACATTAACATTAGCTTACGACTGTCTTAGCGCTAAGGGAGCTTCGAAAATCTAGGCCAAGGTCACCAGTCTGCCATTTTACAATAAAGAAAAGGTCTGTACATATATGTAAACATAAACATAAACAAATACAGGCCATACAACGGAGAATCTGGTACATACATATGTAGATACTAGCATATATGGAGAAAGATGGAGGTCAGGGGACCGTCTAACTGTACGTTAACCTTGTTATCGTGCAATACACGGTTGTGTGTTGTACTATTGTGTGGGGAATGTCTACCCTCGTCCATGTTCCGTTCAACTGACATTACTAGGACGTTGTTGACAAAAGCAACGTCTCCCACAACATAACCATGACATTTTGTATATCGTGTGTGACAGTGGGATACTTACATATAGCAGAGACTAAAACCACTCCACAAATAGTCGATAGCGCCATCCTCGGGTGCATGTTGTAGACTGTAAATGCGTAGTAGCGAGTCACGGATTGAAGCAAAACACACGGTATTCTATATCCGGGTAACACTACATAATTCAGGCGCAATGTACCCGAGCTGTCTACATAGGGTGTCTCTTTATTCAGTGTTGTGTTACAGTTGGGCGCGTCTCTGGTATTTACCTTCAACTGAATGGCCCTTTGTGACGACACGAAACGTCAGTGGAGCAATGCACAATCGATGACTGGCCAGATCGATTGGACTGGGTATTTCCGCAGCCCTACCTATGAAAACATTGTTGAAATCAGAGAACCTAAACGGCTAATGGTATCGCTTAGTGACACTCACGTTGCCTCTTATTTAAAGGCTATATAAACATAGATATTTATCCTGTATAGGTCAGAGTGAACTGCTTGATTGATGGCTTGACTGGTGGCTGATTGCCAAGTTGCATTGACTGACACGTGACATCTGTGTGCTTGTATATGTGATGATTAGGTGGTATTAACGAACAAAGATAACAAGGTACCATGTAACATTAGTAAACTATCCATTTGGCTTGAAATTATTCTTATCCGCCGTATTGAATATTTTAAATATATTCAATTATTGATACATGCCCCAAAAGAGGGACGACTTAGCATCTGGTTCATCAATCAATGTTACATTACGCTCTTTATTTCAACTGAACATCGGGCGGTGGGTAGCCCTATGGTTAAAGCGTTCGCTCGTCACGCTGTAGACCCGGGTTCGATTCCCCACATTTGTGCAATGTGTGAAGCCTATTTCTGGCGTACAACCCGTGACGATCCGGGTTAGAACTGCTCTCCAGTAACGCTAGTAGAGGCGATTAATGGGATCGGGTGGTCAGGGTCGCTGACTTGGTTGACACATATAATCGCATCTCAGTTGCGCAGATCAATGTTCATGCTTTTGATAACTGGATTGTCTCCAGACTCGATTATTTACAGACCGCCACCATATAGCTGAAATATTGGGGAGTGTCTAGTAAAACTAAACTCACTCACTCACTCTGGTGTCCAACGCCGTAATATTCATGGACCACATACCACCGGTCGTTATAAAGAGGCATCATTTCTCATACCAAATCAATGCAGCCATTAACTGTTTCTTTCCTGTCGAAAGCCATACATGTTCCATCAATATGTCGACGGACTGTAAATTATGTATTCGGGATAACGCAATCCAATGGATCGATTTTGTGAGTAACGATTTACGTTGTCGGGTTACGAGAACACGCAGTCTGCGGTGTTGGGTTACGAGAACACACAATCTGCGGTGTCGGGTTACGAGAACACGCAGTCTGCGGTGTCGGGTTACGAGAACACGCAGTCTGCGGTGTCACCGGGACGCCACTCACAACCAGCAATCGTTACTTGGTATCATTCCTAATTTGGACATCCAAAATGTGTTGATCAGCATACTGTAGTATAGAGGCTGGACAGACGAGCTCGGCAACTTGTATTGCTGCATTAGATGCATCGAGGACGGCTTGTCTACAAATGCTGTTGTTGCCGGACTAGTTGTAGCTGCCACAAACATTCCTAATGTTCTTGGTCTTAATAAAGTGCTATATACATTTAAGATACTATGCATGAACCTGCATTTGAGGATAAAGTAAGAACGAACCAGTTGCAGTCGGAGCAAGTGTTTATTTGGGTTTATGTCAACTTTAGGCAGAGTGCCTCAGTATCAGATTAATCTGCATAGTCAATACTCAAAACAATAAAAATATAAAAATAAAAAAAATATGAAGTTACTCTATGGACACCGAAACACAATATATAACAAATAACAACCGAATGTATTTGCTTGTTGTCTTACGCCGCATTCACCAATTTTCTAGCCACATGACCGAGGTCTGCAGCATATATATTAGGGTGCCGTTGTACAAACGACCTAAGCGCTAAGGTGACCGTAACTCCCACACCTTAACATAGACTTAAGTAACTCTTATCGCTGAAGTTGTTTGGTACAACGTCCCCCTGGTTACATTTTAGAGCACGCCATATTGAATTCTCGATACATGTATATCTATCTGTCTAGTGTATTGACTCTGTGATATTCACTCTACTGTTTAACTGTACATCGTCGTTACATGGTTTGTACATTGCATCCGTGGCAAGATTTGAACCTTCCCTGAATCGGTCACTGGTAACTTGCTTCACACATATTGAAAAACTGTCAGTTGTTCATGCTCGCATGCAAATCGTAGTCGATGGGCGGTCAGATTGACCGGCGCTTCTCCAAAAGGCCAGTGTCAGTTGTTTCTGATGTGTTGTTCAATTGCTGTTTATTAGCGCTTATTGTCAACAACATTAAAATTAATATATTTAATTAAAACTAGATTTTGTGATCCATACTCGATTATCCACATGCCACTGTCGTATAGTTGGGATATTTCTGACTGTAACGTAAAAAAACATATGCAATCAAAAACATAAATATAATAATTCATAAATATTGCTATTTGTGTAATTGCAAAGACATTACACGGTAACACATAAGACCACATTCCTATCACAAATCAGATCTAAGTAACGAGTAACAACAAGACCTTATTTCAATGAGACTGTCATCGACACAAACGACCGTTAATGAATATTTAATAATAATTAATAATGATAATGGCCATATATTAATTTCAACTGATTAGTGACCTAAGATCTTTGCACAACACCATGATCATTCTACAAGTATGTTGTTATCATTGCGTCTATGTGCATCAGAATGCTGTAGGAAACAGTTATCGTAGGATTTCGTTTTCCCAGAACACATTTTGTCATGACGAAGGACTTCAACGATGCTGCTGTTTGATACTGATACATCTTGTAGAAGGAACTGCATCTTTGTTGTGGGGAATGATCCATATCAGCATTTCCCACTGTTGAGGCAAAACAGACTATCGTATGACGGGGGAGGTTGACTATCACCAACTGCAGTGTATGGGGGTGGCAATTCTGTTTCACCTCCAGTTCCCGTAGAAGGCATCATCGCCTCGAGATTAGGAAGGGGGTCGGATGCTACTGGCATAATCACTCTGTGATTAGGATCGTAATCGGATGCTACTGGGTCTGAAGACCTCGTGGTGGCAATTACAGCACAGACAGTATTTGATGACCGATGACGTCGTTTCTGGCGAATTATCCAAGCACTTAAACTGATGGAGAGTATGAGGAAGACCAGGAGGGGAGTAGCTAGTACAGTGAAGATGGTTTCAAACTCTGCAATAGCATAATGTATACATTTACTTTTTAACATAAACAATCAAAATGGAATTAGTAAGCAATAAAATATAAAATATTGATGTAGTGTTGCGGTTAGGATACTTGAACCATCATATAATATAGTAAAACGACAAGATTACTTTTTCACTAGAAATCTCTGCTTTAATAAACTCAATTGTAGGATTCCGAAATATATTTATGAATCCTTATCTAATATGTAGTATTCCAGGTGAACAGGGTAGAGTAGCATGCCTCAACAATCACTGAATGAAAACAATGTAATAAACATTAATAATTGCATGAATAGCAATAGGAAATATGTGTTCTTACCATCTTGTGGGTTGTGTGGGTTGTGTGGGTTTGGGGGTTTCAATTCCACTATAATACTATATTTGATCACAAACACGCCATGGTTCTTGGAACCACTAGCACGGAATTCTATAAACACGTGTGGTCCTGAGCTCTCTACAGATGGTCTCTCGTCTCCGCACCACTTTGCCAGAGATGTGTTCGACGAGTCATAGCCTGCAAAATATCAAATGGAAGAGTGGTCAGACTTGGAGCAGTTGACGGCTTACATGATGCAAGGTTATGTTGTATCATTACATCAGTATGCCTTCTTGGCCAGAGACAAATGTCGCAGTTCACAAGGTTCAAGTCCTGACTGGCCAAAGTCCACGTCTTCAGAGCAAGGAGAACGATAACTTTTTTAAGCAGTTCTATATAAGAGCTAACATGACCATCCGTTGTTGTACCAACTTCAATGAAATATATTTACATAAAATACTCCACGATACACAGAGATACTCGTACGAGAGAAAGTTTAATCGGAGTCTACACATATTTACATAACATTAGTGAGTGAGTTTAGTTTTACGCCGCTTTTAGCAATATTCCAACAATATCATAGCAGGTTACACCAGGCATGGGCTTCAGAGATTGTTCCCATGTGGGGAATCGAACCCGGGTCTTCTGCGTGACGAGAGGACGCTTTAACCACTAGGCTACCCCACCGCCTCTATATAACTATATACATTCGCACCACAATATACTGATCATGTACTCTCTATGCTTGATGGCAGGTAATAACGGAACAAACAAGGACGATGAGATCAAACTGTTTGGAAGCATTTTCGGGAACAACATTTCCAAATCAATTCACTCACCACCCTTCCCACCCATCCACTGAGTATCAAGCGAGCCGTTTCTGTCATACTTACCGTCATATACTTCCAAGTAATCACTGCTACAGTTAGGGTTGTACGGAAGATGTGATTCTTCAACAGCCACACGAATGGCTTCTGTCAATAATCCTGAATATATCCTCCAGGTAAGATGGTATGTCCTGAAAGGGAATTAAACATTACATGTATTGCACACTATTCATCACTTACATATGTTACGTTTTTATTGCGTTTTTGTTGTAACGCCACATTCAGCAATATTCCTGCTATATGACGCCGTTCTCTCTGGAGTCTGGACCAGGCAACTCCGTGATTGACGCCATGGGAATCACCATGTGATGCAAAAACATGCATCGACCCATTTACCGAAGCTTACCACCCGATCCCGCCATTTGAGGGTGGTTGGGTAGCCTAGTGGTTGAGGCGTTCGCTCGACACGCCGAAGACCTGGGTTCGATTCCCCACATAGGCACAATGTGTGAAGCCCATTTCTGGTGTCCCCCGCCGTGATCTTGCTGGAATATTTCTAAAAGCGGCGTGAAACTAAACTCATACACTCACTCCCGTCATTTGCCTCTGACACCGAGCTTAGGTTGCTGACAATCTCTGCTGACACGAATCTTTTAGGGCTGAATCCTTAGCATGATCTCTGTAGCTGCTGTTACCTATATGTATACTATCATTTATGTAATTATAGTCTACACTGCATCGCTTCTAATGAAAGAACACAACTGACTAAACCATATATTTATTATTGTGATACTTACATATGAAGATAGAGAGTTACCTACCCTCCATATAAACCCGGATACCCAGGAGACAATATACTGTCGATGTAACTGTCGGCAGTCAGATCAACGTGTTTGCTGACTGCTCAATGAACAGAAAAAAATGAATCAATCAACACATAATCATTGAGGTACAGACAATATGTTATCGTGTAACACCTATACATATATATACACATACACACACATATATATATTACATGGATGAGGCATGCCTTAAGTTACAGCGCACCAACGTAAGTAAAAAGCTAAACTGACATTTGTGTTAGAGTCATATATGTAGTACGAAGGGGACATGTCCATGCTCAGCTACCGAGATGGTCGCTGGGTGAGCGAGTTTCGTTTTACGCCGCTTTTAGCAATATTCCAGCAGGGGACACACATTTTTCCCACGTGGGGAAGCGAACCCGGGTCTTAGGCGTAACGAGCGAACGCCTCAAACACTAGACTACCCCATCGCTCCTATATGGCCAGTGAGATACTTATGATTAACCAGCGAGTGTGTGGCTAGTACAAGTTTGGTTAGGTTTGGTTGTTGTTTAAAGCCGTACTCAGCACTATTCCAGCTATATGGCGGCGGTCTGAAAAATCATCGAGTCTGGACCATACAATCCAGTGATCAAAGGCATGAGCATCGATCTACACAATTGGGATGCGATGACATGTGTCAACCAATTCAGTGATCCCGTTAGTCGCCTCTTTCGACAAGTATGTACAATCGACGCTGCTTTTAGCAGTGATTTCTTATGGATGTGGAAACCGTTTTGTCGCTTCTATTAGCTGAAGACCAATTCTCATCCGGACCTTCACGGGAAATGTTACTGTCTGAGATTGCTCTATTTGCTTTGGCCCAAAGATCACGACAACAGGGATGCCCTTGTTTCCTGGACTACCATACAGGCCTACTATACTTCACGGGTGAGTACAAGTCTGGATGTATACCTGCTTTATATTGCTCTCCCACTGGAATACTGTTTAACATGGATGCAGAGCTCGAGCACCCTGAACCCCGAGCCGACCAGCCCTTGTAAATGCCTTTCATGCAAAACACGAGGCAGGCTAATATCATATATCAGGTTTCCATTTGTGGCTAAAAACATGGAAGAACAGTGAGTTTTGCCTGACGCTCGACATTTAAGGGATTGACAAGGACCCATCGGCTCGGAATCATTGTGAAGTGTCTGAGTTGTGCATCCATGTCAAACAGTATCCCACGCACAGCACCAAAAACCGGATAGTAAACCATTGAAATATACGTAAATACAGTAGGAAATACATGCCATGACCGGGTTTACGTATGTTTTCAGATATTCCCTAACTTCGGGCATATATTTCTACTCATCGTACATTTTCGTATGCACAAGCACCTCGTTCATGTATGCCCTGACCGGATTGTCGGGGATTTCCAAATATGAATTGCAAAATAGATACCTCGGTAAATACATGATCATACAGTATTTCCAATGCATTCCTTTGAATTTCAGTGGGTGCTGAAATTTCCGATTTCGTTCTAAGTTTACTCGGGTTGGAAACATGTGAATTTACTTAGGTGGGGAAACACAAGTAAATTTTCAAATTGGCAAATGTTTACACACCTTAGATATTTATGTATCATACCGGATTTCAGGGGTATGTATATGAACGGTTCATACACCATCATGTTACCTGTATTCAAGCAAGATGATCAAATGTTTCCATCATGTGAATTACTTGGCTCATGTAATTTCACTTTCACACATTTTAGTACGTTTGAAATCAACGTTCACATGACCTCAATATTCTTATCACCAAAGAGCCTGACAAAGAAAGCGGTATTACGCAAGCTAACACGCCTTATTAAGCTGCACTCGCTCTTTCTACCAGTATCAGTTACACCTTGTCTGTGGTGTTGGCAAATCTTGTGAGGTGCATGTTTCGAGGGATTGAAAGGTTCAGTGGTGAACAAAGGGCGATGCGTTGCCCCTTTGTCCTAGCAAGTGTCCCTAGCTGCCCCAAAAGAATAGCAGTTTGTCTCTCTTGGAGCACAGTCAAATATGCTACACGAACCAACTCGTAATTTCTTAAGTCTGTTCAGCTCGCGCATCACTACTGTACAATAATTGTGGCAGTACATAATTGGAATATTATTGCACTTGCTGTAATAAACGCCATACATAAGTTTGTTTCACTAACGCAAAAGTATACAATAAGAAACAATGCCATATCAAATTATATATTCTGTGAGACATGAAATGAAAAATTGTTTTTATCGAGTAGCGATTATGACCGGATAGCACAGGCGGGTGCGTTCTCTGAGTATATCATAGACATGTAGGATCTCCGTGCCTTTTCGGAAATTCGTCTAAATTGTCCTGTTTAAATTGACGATCCATAACTCAGATTGCGAGTAAATATCACGTAATTAATTGTGATGTCGCATTGCTGTAAATTTCCCTGTCGAAGAAGTCATTCTCACAAGATGTATATTCCCTTGTTTGGAGAAGATCTATGGCTATTACGCCCCAGTGTTGCTAAACATCTTACAGGCCTTTAGTCTGACACAGACGCGGAGTGAGTGAGTGAGTTGAGCCTTTTACGCCGCACTCAGCAATATTCCAGCTATATGGCGGCGGTCTGTAAATAATCGAGTCTGGACCAGACAATCCAGTGATCAACATCATGAGCATCGATCTGCGCTATTGGGAACCGATGACATATGTCAACCAAGTCAGCGAGCCTGACCACCCGATCCCGTTAGTCGCCTTTACGACAAGCATCGTCGCCTTTATAGCAAGCATGGGTTGCTGAAGGGCTATTCTACCCCGGACCTTCACGGGTCCACAGACGCGGACATCGCATGTTCAGGTTCTGATCTGACAGGGGCTGAAAATATCATTCCGACATGAATACAATATCTCAGTGTTTTCCTAAGTAAGTGGAGATCTTTCTACAACATTGGAAATAACTCTATCGTTGTCCTTCTGATATTCCCCCGAACGAAAGCTCTACCCTTTTAGGGTACAATGTGTAAGTTACAGAATTGTAGGGAATAGTCTTAAGACTTTTCTACTTTGACCAAGATTCTTCGAACTTGTAACAGTCGTGTGAGAAGATCAAAAGAGAAAAGGGTAGTGCGCGATGTATATGACGGACGTATATGGAGATCGTTCGAAGAACTTTATAAATACAATAATAGAAATACCGGTTATGTTTAAAACGCACCTTCAATCTGATAGCCAGAGGGATTATTGTGAAAGGTCGCAGTATGTATCATCATAAACGGGCCAAGATAAAAGTACATGTCATTCATCTCCACATTATATCCCTTTTATAGACACGGGACATCGTTGTTACAGGTAGGGCAAACACTTTATTCTAAAGTATCTGCCGGTTTCACTCTACATACATGTGTTCAGATTATCGAGAAAACTAGCGACGCAAGTTCTCCTCCTTCACACCAGAGACCACATACTCTATCATATGGCCTTTGATCACACATATAATTGTATAGATACCCAGTGTTTATTGATAGCGATGAAGCAACTTATCAAAATTTACAGCCGACAGTATCATCTGCATTACTCTCTTACATAAGGTGAAATATCACAGGGTTGTAATGGTAACGATAATTTGGCATACTATTTATTGTGTTGTTCTTTAATCTGTGATTAGAATTTAAATCAGTTTTGACGTGAGCATGTTAAGAAAAGAGAATCTGTAAAACGAAATGTATTGTGATCGAACCTATAGGCCTTTGTAAAAGCGAGTTTCAAGTCACCTACATAAAAACCTGTTTTCATGATAAGTATCTGCTAATCCGTGGCACGATTCCGACCATATCGTGGGCATGTGTTTGTGAATCATAAACAAATAGTGATGTTACAAGCAGTCCATGCCGCGTCAACAACACATGCAAACAGGGGCGTAGCTACCATTATAAAAACAGCTCGAGCATTCACATGATCTTTGCTAAAAATAATTTACAGTAAATTACAGTAAACAGGTTATTCTTCATATCATAGCTTTCAGTGATGATTGTTTTTCCATCGACATGTATGAGGATGTTTTGTTACAGTCATGATTATATCTGAATCATCACTGAAATGCAGTTGTTTATTTATCATTTGTTTATCAATTATTTTAGAAAAAACACCAAATACTCGATGTATGGTATTGTATCAATGCAGCTGACATGTATAAAATATGTCCAAACATATTTGTATATGAGGAAATCACACTTGAATTTCCATGGTGGTAAGACTTCCGTCCGTAACCCCAAACCTCCCACCCCTCCCCCTTAAATTTTAACGATGAGGAAAACTTTCTTTGAGTGGCATTTATATGTCTTTCAGTATGTTCAGATTAAATAAACAAAACACGTTAAAACCCATCCTTATCGGATGAGGAATATATATTCAGGTGATATGATTTGACTAGAATGAAATTTAAGGGGGGATACAGGCGGAAGTCTTTCCACCATATTTTGAAGCTATTGAAATCATCAAACGTCAAACGATAACTCTTCAAGTCTCACAAAAAATGAAAGTTGGACAAGCCCTCAACACCACCTAAATATAAGGCTTTGCAGCTCATATTGCTTACACGAAAAACATGGCTTGCTACGTGCCTGGCAAACGCACGAGAATTGCAATACGGGCCTCTAACCACTGATTCTCCGTGACCTGGAGACACATGTGATTGAGCGTGTGTTGGGACGTCGTCTGTCATACAGACCCTGAAGCAAATATATCCAAGCCCACGCAGGTCTACAAAATGTGGCAAGTCTAGATTTTCACAGCTTCAGGAGAAAGTCTCAGGGCTCCTTTTCCTTATATAATATTCTTTTTTTACTATCAACTTTTTTTCTGTAAAATATGTTCATATCAGAGACTAGTTGTTAATCCAGTTTTGACGGGTAGAAGACAAAAGACAAAATGGATACTAGTACCGTTACATTTTTTAATTATATATAAACATTCGTCCTTGTCTCGGGATAAATGTATATTTTCCACCAAATGTACATTCGGAGGATATCGAAATCTAGGTTAAGCTAGTTGAATCATATTTACAATTAAAAGACCCAAACAATGGTGTGTTGTCCACATTTTTGGTTTTCCATAGTCACAGAACGATATTTTGTCCCCTTCCGTCTCTAGGAAAACTCACTGCAGGGTTCGGGTTATGGAGAGCCATACCGAACACCCACAGCTGGCGGGACCAACATCTCCAGTAACATTTACATCTGCCAACGCTTAATTCGCAAGTGGTGAGGCAATAAGCTAATGAGGCTAAGGGTCCTGTATCATGTTTGTGAAATATCTGTGATGCCTTATATGAAGTCTATCATCTAAGCAAGTCTAGCTATGTATGGCGTTAAGTCACTGCTTTAAGAAAGGCTCCTTTAGAATTTTATCTGGTCAATATTAGTATTTCCATCATATCGGAAAATACATAGACTAACGCTTAGTGTCTGAATATATATAATTTTGATAGTAACAAACAAGCCCATTTAAATTGAGCCCCCAGGGAGATACGAGATTCAGTCCGGCTAGCCATGGCTGCAGTTAGCTATAGATATGTTTACTTTGTAACCCGACCCCCAAAGTGAGTTAGGGTTCTTGCAGATGTTAACAGACCCTGGACCTGAGGAGATCTAGACTTGCTTCATTTAAGGCTTTAGCATTGCACAGAGGGCTTGGCAGTAGGGGAAATAATGTGGTTCAGGGACTGTGAGACAGACTAAACAGTAAGGAAAAATAATGTGGTTCAGGGACTGTGAGACTGACTATAAAATGCATGGCAACCTACACTTCATTGTGCCTATCACTTTAAAACACAAGGGTTATTTCCTTTGGGTTAACTGACAGGCTTTCGGTGTCAAATTATTTGGAACTCCAGCCAAAGGTGATGTTATGCTGTCTGGTAATATGGCCTTTTTGTAATGCCATAATGATAAGTGATTGTTGTACATATGATGTTTTTGAAGGATAATATCAGCGTACTAATACTTTGCACGTATTAGTTTTCCATTGATCTAGTAATTTTCATTTTCTGTTTCCACGAAATTCTGTACGAAGGTACTTTTAACAGTTTCACCCAATAACAGTAAAGCATACAGATAATACGTTTCGGTACTTTGATAGATTAATAAGTACATATTATATTCCATGATATTGAGATACCAAAATGATTAACATGATTATACAATGTATAACAAATTAGACAGCAAAAAGCCAAAGCAAAAAAGAAAACGCATGAGCATCATAATGCTGTCAGGAAGTAAGCTTTCAACAATTATCGAAACTGCTTAGTTATGAGCTAATTGCAATCACTACAATTTCATATAGTCTGCCCAACAGATGGAAACAAAATAGGTCTAATATGAAAATTATGAGCTAATTGCAATCACTACAATTTTCTTTAGTCTACCCAAGAGGTGGAAACAAAATATGTCTACAGTATATTCCGTCGGGTAACTGAAATTTGAGAAAACGTCCGTATGGAATAATACCTGTATTCCGAATAAAAAAGAGGTCACACCAAGTATGTGCATGTTCACACATTTACAAAAGTAATTTACACCGGGAATCATTAATACATTGTAATCATCTTTTATGAAAGTATAGATAATGAAATTTGTTCAGTTATGATCAGTCGGATAACTCATACAAGTGAGCACTAAAATTAGGGACCTACCGGTTCATGTCTGTGTGAACACATTCGTCTAGATCTGTGTTTAATTGTAATTAGCAGTGTCTCCTAGTATAGCATATATAAGAAGTGTACCTAAGGTCAGTTATTTAAACTGTTATGTAATTTCCATTACAAAAGTATAAATGATATTACCTATTGGTCAGAAAGACTTATCAGTACCCCAACACCGACCACCGCCACCACCCCACCCTCTAGCCTACCCTCCCATGCCACACCCCTCTCCCTCGCAACACACACACACACACCTTCTAACATACATATCGCTCTGGCCCATAGACCCGATATTTGAACCTTTTAAACAGACACCATGTGTATGTCAAGAAAGACACGTACGTTATTAGTGGTGCTCAGTCATGGGTATCACTTCACCATGTGTTACTAACTATCTCAGTACATTATGGCGTGGTCGGACGCTCTAACGAAGCCTATGTGACAGTTACATTACAGCACCATTGAAATACATGTTAAAGTAGTGCTAATCTTGTAACACTATACTTACTCATTTCCAACCATTTACGCATGTACAAAATATATGACAAACCTAACCCTGGTCATACGAGATTTCAAGGGTATTGAAATGCCTGTCCTACAATCACAGCATTTACATATGTTACACATGTTAGGAAACAGATGGAAACAATGGCCAGATTTACACACCTGTGAAATACATGTAAATGCAGAGTCGAATGTTCGTTTATTTTAACACCCTTTTAAACGTGTGTAAATCTGACGGCCAGATGATACGTAGATTTCAAACGTTGTTCATATGGCCGCCGGATGAAACGAGTATTTCCTGACGTTGGTAAATTTGGGTAATACAGTCATTTTGTGTGGTGACGGTGTTCCAGTGGGATGTCATTATAAAGGACATTAACAGGTAAACAGACATACGTGCTACCACATCACAAATTATGAAGAAGGCGGGACGCTGAAAATTACGTAGTGACATAGATACATATTCCAGTCGCTACATAAATTTTGAACAACCTTTGAACGTGACTCTCTGTCTCCCTCTGTCTCTCTCTGACTCTCTCTGCGTACGCGCACGCGCACGCACATACACGAATTACGTAATTCTTAGAAATTACCTGCAAAAATACCACTGGTGTACATCATCTTGAACCCTCTCTCTAATAAAGTGAACATCATTGTAAACTCAACCCTCATATATCTTGTTGAACTTGTTGCTGTGAAATTTGTCCTGACTGCGCAAGCTTCATTCAGCCGTTGACTGTATCGAGCGAATCCTAAAACGAAAATGGATTCAGTGAAATTGAAACTGATGTCATTTGAACTGATCTCTAAAGGCAACTGGAAAAATGAGAAATGCTTACTTAAACATGTGCCCGTTGATAACAACGTCAATTCATAAGAAACACTAGAATGAATGTTAGTGCACAGTGCATACGCGGATGTTCAAAATATTGTGAAAGTTGATTGTCTTGAAAGAACCCTGTCACCGTTCTTGAATCCAAAATAGTGTTGGAACAGGCGGGTTTTCGGCGTTTCCGAATAAGTATCCACACCGCACCGCAAACTGGAAATGGGTCTCAAATCAAGATATTGTCACTCTAACACACAGACATCCCGCAGAAACTTCGAGGACGATCGAACCACTGTTCTAGCGACTATTGCTCGATTCTGGTTGTGACAGCATTTGACAGGCCTTTGTACCATCAGGGCGGTCATATGCATTTTGTTTTATGTGATACCATTGCCTTTGGAAGAACGTGTTATGTCATTTATCTATGAGTATGTTTTTGCGATGCACGGTTTCTTTTTTGGGTTAGTATACCATCAGGACGGTCATATGTAAACATGTAAACTCTTCAAAATAAAAAAAATATAAAAAAGACAGGCTAAAAATATGGAAATGTAATTAAACGTATAAAGTGTACATAAGTCGACTAAGCTTGAACATAGATTATTGAAATTCGACAAGAGGTGAACTTTATATTGTTGTTGTCAGCAGTAATTCAGTTCACTCACTGCACATGTGTGAACACAAGGGGGAGTTCATGTCAGTACATGGTGACGACACCCCTTGCAGCCGTCACTGCCCGACACCGCCTTGGAAGGGATTACATAAGTCGCCGGAATTATGCTTGGGGAATTCTTCGTCATTGCCGATACTTCGGTCAGTTATAACATTCAATCTTGGCATTTGAAATGTAGTGTAATGAAATGATGAATTTGGCCTTTTATAGTTGATGTATGTACTCATGTTTCCGACATTGCACGTGCACTGCGTGGAAAACTTTCTCTGCATGCACTTTTTGATGCATCGTTTCCATTTGTTGTGACAAACGTTTACTAACACAATTGAGGATACTTTTGCTTGCAATACACAACAACCACGACATGCTTAACGAGATTCAAACAAAGGAATTGTCTTAATGACGATTGCTGTTAAAATATATCGACGAACTGCTGAAAACGCCTGTGCGTTTCTTTCTTTTGGAAAAGTGTTTTACTAACAATCACTACATTACCCCAACTAAAGTTTTTCACAATTGTAGTGACCTACGTAAATACTTCGATTTATCCGGGGTTCGACCTAACCGCATCATGATGATTTTGGTTCGTATCTCTGATAATGTCTCCAGGTCTGTCGGCACCGAAGCCATGCATCATTTCCAACATTCTTCCAACATCCGACTGTGAAGGCGTGACGTACTTCAATGTTGTTCAAAGCGGCTTTTATACACTATATAATAACATTTCAATCTATTCACCTACCGTCAAAGATATTCACACGATCGTATCTGCACTGGATCCCGTACTTCCCATCAAAAACAAGGACAACAGCTTGAATCCTCTCTCCTTCCTCAGCGGTGATTTCAAATGTGCATCTGAGTTTTTCCTGAGCAAGTAATATGCTGGGACATCTGAAACAATCATTTTTACGAATTGCTTTCTGAACATCATAAATTACTTGAGCATGAGCAGATTGTAGCTTTGCAGTATTCCATCTCTATGTCTGTCAAATATTCTTGTCCGAACCAGACAATCCAGTGATTGAAATCATGAGCACCCATGTCAGTTATTACGTCAGTTGCCTCTTCTGACAAGCTTTAGTATCGCCTGGTATAGATAAGTTCGAGGTCTGATAGCCGAGTGGATGAGTGAATTTAGCTTTACGCCGCTTTTAGCAATCTTCGAGCAATATCATGGCGGTGGAATACAGAAATGGGTTTCAAACATTGTGCCCATGTGGGGAAAAGAACCCGGGTTCTCGACGTGACGAGCGAACGAGTAACCACTAGGCTACACCACCGCCCCTGTGATAGTCGATGACGGTCATTGACGGTCAGCTTGTTGACAAAAGGATTAGACTCTAATATACATTATATACATACTGTATTAAAGGTATAGAGTAGCATGGTGATGTTAGGTATTTGGGTTGGGATCCAGCTGTTAATTTCCGGGGACCACAAGAACGATCACTGGTAGATGTTTCTGCGTGGACTTTGACGACATGGAAAGAAAGCGTGTTTAGAAATATAATGACATATGTAGTTTGTTCCTTTATTTTGTTTTCTTTATTGTTTAACGTGGCACTCAGCAATTTGCGGTCTGTATATAACTAGACGATCCAGTGATTAACATAATGAGCGTCGATCTGCGCATTTTGGATACCGTGACATGTGAATTATTGTATATGAACATATTGTCTTTGACTTGCACAAGTCTCTAAGGTGATAATTTAAAGTTTAAATGATAATTTCTAAAAACAATATAAATAATCTGAAGTCCTTATCCATCCTTATCTCTTTAAAGGTTAGAATTACTATACATGCATGGGCTCATTACTCAGTACAGCCTTGGAGCAAGGCTAATTAACAACACTGTTGTATGGTGCCAGTGAAGGCACTTCGTTTTCTCATCTCCAAGAAAGCGATAGGGTGACGAGAAAGCCATAGCACAGGAAGAAACATTTTCTCGCTATTCACTTATGCAGTACTGCTCAGATGCTGAAGTGTTATTGAAAACACTCCTTGGCTATATACAACATGCCATGTACACTAAACTTACCGGTGCTTGAACACACACATACCCCATGAAGAACCAGATATAATCCATGTCGCCATGTTGTTTCCATGATAACACAATGTTAGTGACGACGGTTGAGGGGACGGCATAATACTCTTCACTCTCCAAGAGAAAATCGATGCCTGGCTCGTCGTGCCCTGGATTCCATGATCAACAGCCGGACAGAGCCTGGCGTGGCGTGGCCAAACGATGTTATTGGCTATTTACTCCATTATCCATAATGAAACCTACGTTTTCCTAATGCGACATACACACGTGACAATAAGGAATAATAACAAATCACAAACATACAGCAACGTGGCGTTACTGCGGCTCAGGTAGGGTAGCAGTCTGTTAGCAGGGCTTAGCTGGGTTACGTGCAAAAGAGGAATCGTTAAACGAAACGGGATTTGAAAAGTACAAAGGCGTTTACAATAGTCATCCACATTACCATTTGTCGGGGGAAGATTTCATATCTATACCCAAGCGAATACCACTTTCGAAGATCACTGTTAATCGTATTTAAAGCATAATGGTAAAAGTGAAGATCCTTACCCCACTCTCAACGTAATCTTCGTCACTAATGTTCGGTCTTACTTGGCCTGGTGTTATACTGTTATATCTAAATTAATCACAGATAGTTCAGACTGAACTGAAGTATTACCACAAACAAGTTGCTGTAACTGAAGTATTACCACAAACAAGTTGCTGTTACTGAAGTATTACCACAAACCATTGCTGTAACTGAAGTATTACCACAAACAAGTTGCTGTAACTGAAGTATTACCACAAACCATTGCTGTAACTGAAGTATTACCACAAACAAGTTGCTGTAACTGAAGTATTACCACAAACAAGTTGCTGTAACTGAAGTATTACCACAAACAAGTTGCTGTAACTGAAGTATTACCACAAACAAGTTGCTGTAACTGAAGTATTACCACAAACAAGTTGCTGTAACTGAAGTTTTACCACAAACAAGTTGCTGTAACTGAAGGAATTTTACAAGTACTCTCAAAGTACTCACTAAGTCAGTGTTGGGTCCGACTTGGCCCGCGTGGTTCAAACCAACTTAAACGTCACTGACTGACTGAGTTTGGTTTTACGCCGCTTTTAGCAATATTCAAGCAATATCACGGCGGAGGACACCAGAAATGGGCTTCACTCATTGTACCCATGTGGGGATTCGAACCCGGGTCTTCGGCGTGACGAGCCAACGCTTTAACCACTAGACTACCCCACCGCCCCACTTAAACGTCACAGATGTACAACGAATTTTGTTTAAATATGTATCCAATACATGCACTGGTGTATCCTGGATATAGCAAAATCGATCATTATTGATTACTTCATTTACCTCTGGGTGCAAATCTTGCCTTGGTAGGGATATCTCTGGATAAACATTGTGTGAATGTGTCCTCGCTCCTCCCTGTCGCCAACAGTGGAAGTTAAATACCACTGGATGTTTTACATACATATTTTAGCAGGAAATTACATATTTAAAAGGAATTACCTTTTATTACCACCTTTGCTGGACACACACTGGTGTCAGTAATACTGAGTTTGAAGAGCTCAGGATCTAAAAGACATGTTCCAAACACTATGGAATTTCAATCTGTATGTGTATCTGTATCATAAGAAGCTCATACTGGGTAAGTGAGTATGGTTTTACGCCGCACACAGCAATATTCCAGCACTATCATGGCGGGGGACACAAGAAATTCTCTTCACACATTGTACACCGATGTGGGCAATCGAACCCGGGTCTTCAGCGTGACGAGCGAACGCTTTAACCACCAGGTTACCCACAGCCCGAAATGAGTGAAAATTGGTTGTAAAATCTTATGTCATTTCGTAGTCACTTTTACAGCGGGAACAAAATTGAATAGTATTAGAATATCATGGATCAATCTATAGGTAATGTGCTTGACTTATATTTATATAGTATTATTGTGGGAGACATTAATATCAATTTTCGTGGTGAAAATAAATGTAAAATTGGTTCTTAGTTGTGAAATATGCACTTTTGTTATTACTGAACCAGCAAGAATCACTAAACATCCAACCACACTCAATGATTAGATATTTGTTTCAAGTGTTGGTAAAGTAAGAGATTCGTATTTACTTGTTCGAAGTCTTCACTGTCCTGTTTATCTTATCAGTGACCCAACAGCATGAGCATCGACCTATGTAATTTGGATGCGATGACATGTGTCAACCAAGTCATCGAGCCTGACTACCCGATCCCTTTACTCGCCTCTTACCACAATCATTAGCTGCATATGGGTTACTGGACCAATTCACAAGTTGGGAAAGAGAAGAGGTGACAGAAGTAGCGATTTTCTGATGGCTGCAAGCAGGTGTTGAGACGCTGTCTGAGATGGCTCGATTTACCTTTGCCTAAAGATTAAGTTGTTGTTTTACGCCGCACGAAGCAATATTCCAGCTATATGGTGTCGGTCTGTAAATACTTGAGGCTGGACCAAACAATCCAGTGATCAACAGCATGAGCATCATTTTACACAATTAGGATTATTAGGATACGATGACATCTGCCAACCAAGTCAGCGAGCCTGACCACCCGATCCCAATAGTCGCCTCTGATGAAGACCAATTCTAACCCGAATCGCTGTTTGAGATGGCTGGATTTACCTTGGCCTAAAGATCACGACAGCTGGGATGACCTTGTTTCCTAGACTACTATACAGGCCATTAATAAAGCAGGCACCGACTGTCATCAGTTTCCCATTCAAACGTCCATCTCCTTGCGACTCCCATTCGACATAAATGATTCATTTACTTGTTTCTGTCAAACAATACTATTTTGCACTTTAAATTTGAAGACATTTGACGCAGGGTTAGGGACAGAGCGACAGGCTGGATCGGGACGTCGTGCTACTCTTGGGACCAATGACAGACGACGTATCGCGCGTCTCGCGGCGGCGTACCCAAACTGGTCTGCAAAACAGCTTGCCGTGAAGGCGTCAGGTCAAGGAACCCCTAAGGTATCAGAATGGCCAATCAGAAGATCTTTAAAGCAATCTGGATATGTCAAGCGAGTGCCGAAGAATGTTCCACTGATGACAACAGCACATATGGAGAAAAGGCTCAGGTGGTGCAGGAAATGCAGGGTACTGACTTTTCAAATGTGATTTTTACGGACGAATAAGGTTTCAGTTTTATAGGATCACAAGAAAGAGGTGGTCAAGAGGTGGACGTAGCTGCAAAATCCCATATAGGACAGAGTGGAATACCTTTCAAACTTTTACAGGGCAATGCACCTGTACACAAGTCAAGACACACCTGTAACTGGATTGAAACGAGTAACTTAACCTTACAGAAATCTCCAGCTGCATCACCAGACCTGAACCCAATTGAAAATGTGTGGCAGATTATGAAGTACAAATTAGAAAAGTTGGAACCGAAGAGTGTCGTTGAGTGGTCTAATATCATCAGTCAAATACGGGTGGACCTACCCCAGGACTACATAGACAATTTGATTGACAGCATGGAATGCCGTATTCAGCAGTGCATCGAGAGAAACAGACTATTGACTTGCATAAATGTACACTTCGGTATCCAGAGTAGATGTATGAAAAATATAACTGAATTTATCAGTAAATATATGTTGAAACTACGTCTGTGAAAAGTCGCATTTGTTTCTGCTCGTTACTAAATTTCCTTTGTGCTGTAGTGTGCTTTTTTGACATTCTATCACAGGTGTTCGGCCTTCTCAGATGAGATTCAAACACAGTGAACTACGTGTCTGTCGAACACGTTTATGACCAGCCGATGGCGTGGCCTAGTGGTTAAGGCGTTCCCTCGTCACGCCGAAGACTGGAAGCCGGGTTCTCGGTATGGCCATCTAACACCTTAACCCCTAGGCTATGCCCTTGTAATCAATGCCATGTAGAAATAGAACGTAACAATAGCTCCAGAACATCCACATATCTACATGTAGCATGACCTATTCCTCCACCCTGGTCAGATTCTGTGAGTTGGTTCACGCACTGTCATCGTACATCGATCACGGCGATCGTAGTATGTCATCTCATCATAATATCAATCACTAGATCGTAATGTGCCAAAACATGATAGTATCAATCACTGGATCGTAATGTGGCACAGCATGATAATATCAGTCACTAGATCGTAATGTGTCATAGCGTGATACTATCAAGCACTATATCGTAATGTGCAATAGCATGATACTATCAATCACTAGAGCGTAATGTGCCAAAGGATAATACTATCAATCACTAGAACGTAATGTGCCATAGCATGATACTAGCAATCACTAGATCGTAATGTGCCATAGCATGACACTATCAATCACTAGAACGTAATGTGCCATAGCATGATACTAGCAATCACTAGATCGTAATGTGCCATAGCATGACACTATCAATCACTAGAGCGTAATGTGCCAAAGGATAATACTATCAATCACTAGAACGTAATGTGCCATAGCATGATACTAGCAATCACTAGATCGTAATGTGCCATAGCATGACACTATCAATCACTGGATCGTAATGTGCCATAGCATGACACTATCAATCACTAGATCGTAATGTGCCATAGCATGACACTATCAATCACTGGATCGTAATGTGCCATAGTATGATACTATCAATCGCTGGATCGTAATGTGCCATAGCGTGACACTATCAATCACTAGATCGTAATGTGCCATAGCATGACACTATCAATCACTGGATCGTAATGTGCCATAGCATGATACTATCAATCACTAGATCGTAATGTGCCATAGCATGATACTATCAATCACCAGATTTTGTGCTCCAAGCTCGAATATTTACAGATTACTGCCAGATAGGTGGGATATTTCGGACCATAGAAAACAAAACAGACAATAAATATTGGTATTTTGCATTTCAATGCCAGAAGCAGTAAAGATCATCACTTTCTAACACAGCACATACATGTAAAATAATAACGTTAGAATTTAGTATTGTATGTAAACGTCATTCGCATCTTTTTGTTCAGTATTTCATAATTCAAACTCTTTCATAACCCAAGTTAGCGCGCACACACGCACACTGACACACGCACACAATATGAAAAGGTGTCTCTCTCTGTCTCTCTCTCTGTGCCCCCCCCTTCCGTATTGAAGGAATTGAACTGTACAGTTCCATGGTTTAATCCCCATACGTCTATCAGACCGAATTACATCTTCGCTGCTACGTTTACATCTGCTGTCCAATAGCTCAGATCACTATTTCCCACTTTTTGGTCCAAACTCCAGACTTTCGTATGACGGGGGAGGCTGGCTTTGAGCAGCTGAGGTGTAGGGAGGCAATTCTATTTCGCCTCCAGTTTCCGTAGCTGGCATCATTGCTGCTTGGTGTGGAACCTGAAGTGCTGGGTTTGAAGACATGGTGGTGGCCACGAAAGCACGATTTGTGCGTGATGACCGATGGTATCGTCTCTGGCGAATCCTGTAAACACTGAAGAGCACTGCCGGAACAAGTACAACTGCGATGCATGACAAAAGTATGGTGATTGTTTTCATGCCTCCAGACTCTGCAAAATATATTAATTTCATATTTAGGTTTGCGATTTTAATTCACACAATCAAAATACAATAAGCAAACCATAGAAAATACAATATTATATATTGTTGCGGGAAGGATACTTTAACCATTACATAAATGTATACACAATGTCCTTAGTGATCAAATGCTGACACATGTTATATTTGTGATTGCACTTTCTCAGTAAGGTACATATTCTAGTACTTTTTCTTGGGTTGAGTCCCATCCGGGATTCGAACCCATGATCTCAGAGTAAGGCACCTTGTCACAAGAAATCTCAGCTGTAAGCAAAAGCTCATTGCAAGATTCCGGCTGGATCATAAAAACGAGTTTGTAAATCATTATCAAATAGTGTGTATTCCACGTGTACGCAACCAATTCCATATTCACCATTACTCCTTGAAGACAATGTAATAAACATTTTAAACGAAATACGTGTTCTTACCCTGTTGTGATTTTAGTACTACAAAAAAGTTGATCTTAAAAACACCACGGGTCCCAACACTACTAGCATGGAATACAATGAACATTTGCGATCCTGAGCTGTCCTTAGATGGTTTCTCGTCTCCGCACCACTTTGCTAAAGATGTGGTTAACGAGTCATAACCTGCAACACATCAATTGAAGTGTGATTAGACTCGGAGCAGCTGACATGACGCAAGGTTATGTTGTATCATTACATCAATCTGTCCTCTTAATCAGAGACACATGTCGCATTTCAGTATTCATAGTGACTTCTTCATCTTCATACCAAGCAGTATACTCGACCACTGAAGACGTTATTTGTCTCTTAAGAAAAAGGCAGAGGTGCGTAATTGCAATTTATAAGTAAAGTATCTACCCATTTTTCAAATTTATACGTACTCACTCTCGTCACATTAACAAAAGAAACAGCTGTTGAAAAGGCCACTAAAGCAATGTATTTTATATTTAGCAAAGGTCGAAAACTGCATCTAACATACAAATTACAACTACGTATATTTGATTCCATGGTGTTGCCGATTCTTCTATATGGTTGTGAGGTTTGGGGATTTGAAAATACATCATTACTGGAAAAAGTATATTTAAATTTAACTTCCTTAAAGGTCACATGCAACGTAAAACACAACTTTGCAGATTCTGATACCTTTCGGTATGGACAAACCGAAACAAATAGTCAAAAATGCAAATTCAACTTATAAAGTTGAAAAATAACGCGATGAAAAAAACCGCGCGAAATCGGAGTTCAAACGTTTCACTAATTTTCCCCAGAGATTTCTGGGAAACGGGTTTCAACAGCTGGGCTGCGCCCATAGCACGATGCGCAAGTAAATAGGTTCGCGCAGCTTGGAGGAAGCGGGTTGTCGGGTGAATACTCGGTGAAGGCCTTGGTGTGAGCTATTTTTCTAATGTTTGTTGATATGTCACAGGCGCGAGCTTTTATATGTTATGGCAGTAAATTAACTGTTTATATAATTTCATTTGTCTATTTCACCACACGTTCTTCTTACCGAGACGCTTTCTCAGTTCGATACTTAAAAGCAATGTCATTATTTAGCGTTGACACAGTTTCTAACTGTGATATAGATATGTCGTTGTCACAGACAAAACTCAATGTCTTGTTTTATTGGCACCTATGTGTCTGCCTGCCTGTCTGCTAATGACAATATTCAATACAACTGCAATCACTGACCACATGCAATTTGAACTTAACACCAATCAGGCTATACACCATAAACAAAACGCATTGATTTATGGCCCGAGTTCGGTCTCTGTCACATTATGTAATTACACAGACAGGCAGGTGTGATACTTGAACACATGACATGTTATGATGTCTGTTGATTGCAAATGTTATACACAAAAATGAGCATGTATTTACAAAACCCAACATCTCTATATACACACACACAATATGAGGCCTGAAGGCGGCATCTGCTAATGAACCCAGCCGTTACACTTGAGTGCACACCCACCCCGCTCTGACTGGGTTCGGTATCCCGGCTGCTTCGTTTCGAGGGAGGTAAACCCAAGTACAAAATATTGCACTTTTGATTTGCGATTATACGCTTATAATTTTGTTTATTTGTTTTTTCATAATCAGCTATGCATATTATATGTCATGAAGAAGTGATAATTGTGTTTTAATTATGTTTGATTTCTTGGTTGCATGTGACCTTTAAACAATTAGCACTGTTAAGAAAAAGCAGCCCAAACTTTATGTTGTATGGGGAGTTTGGTAGATACCCACTTGCAATTGATGTGAAATTGTGAATTGTTTCGTTTTGGGGTCGACTTTTAACAGGTAAATCTTCCAAACTATCCTTACTTATCTTTAAATTACTATTAAGCGACACGCATTTTGGAAAATGTAAACATAAATGGATAATGAATATTAAACATAGTTTTGACGAAAATGGACTTAGTTATATCTGGATATCCCAAAATTTTGAAAACCTGAATAAACTAAAAACTACCGTTAAATATAAACTAGAAGATGCGCATAAGCAAGTGTGGTTATCTACGGTAGAACATTCATCAAAAGGTATCTTATATAGCACCTTATCAAACTCATATTTAAGGTTAAGTAAATATTTGGATATTTTAAAAGATAAGTGTTCAATGACAGTGTTACTATCAACAGCAAATCATAACTTACCGATTGAAACAGGCCGCTGGAGAAATATTCAAAAACGTGATAGATTATGTAAACTTTGTAACAGTAGCGGCATTGGCGATGAACTTCATTATTTATTTATTTGTTCTCACTTTATACATTCAAAAGTTAAATATTTAAAGCCATATTTTTATACAAGACCAAATTTTCATAAAATGTATACAATATTCAATAGTAATAAGATAGGTATCCTTAGAAAACTCGCTTTATTCTGTAGTAGTATTATAAATGCTTTTAAGAATCGTCGGTAAGAATACTCCACCTAAATATTCCTACATGTACATATATGAATTATGTATTCACTTGTATTGTAATGCAATCTATTTGCATATATGAATTTGTGTGTATGTATGTATGTAAACTAGCGTCCAAAAGAAACGCCACCAAATATTTTTCTGGTCTAAAACAAAACAAAAGCAAATTATGGCAACATTAAATGTTTACTGTAAAAAGCGATCATTCAGCAACAGCACTTTAATGGATAACAAGAAGAAAAACGACGCAGCTCGTGATCTACTGGCACATGAATGACACTGCAGTGCGTTATCCAATATTCGATCACCAATGCAGAATCGACTGTTACAGCTTTCTTGGCAGGACGAATACCGGGTGTGCCCAACCCTAGCAGTGATGCAGGCCTGAACCCGGAGTAGAACTGAGTAGGTGAGTCTTCTGACATCTTGATTAGGGATCCGACACCTTTCCGCTTGCGTTCCTCGTCTATGGCTGATCTTGGCGTTTCCGAAATTGGTCCCAAAGGTGCTCAGTTGGGGACAGATCTTGAATGACTGTAACCTGATTTCGTCACTAAATTAAAGAACCACTAAACTTTGTTTTGTTACTCTTTTAACCATTACATATGAAGATTTGTGGTTAGTCTTATGCGGAACACCAAATTTATTCTTTAAAACTTGTGGTTAATTAATACCGAGCGATTAAAAGTGGCCAAAAGTCGCCTGCTTCCTCTCGCCCGCCAACAGAAACCACAGACAGGTTACGTAACTCTGTCGCCAGAGCACTGCAGTGACGTCATATGAGGAACGATTTTCAGTTAGTTGTATAGAAAATGTGTAGCACGCTCATCATTTTGATGATTTCTCGACATCAACGATGACATGCCGAATCGTTGCTTTGTCGTCAATTGCTCCTAGGGTCGGGCGATGGTGTCCCCATGCACAGATTTCCACAGGACCCCGCAGTTCGTGCTAAATCGGTTATGTTTGTGAGTGCGAAGCGAGCGTTGTGGAAGCCTGAAACGATATCTTACTTGTGTTCAGATCGCTTCACTGAAGTTAAAGAATCAAAACTACTTACTAGTTGTTGTAAAATATGCATATGATTGATGACCATAAAGATTTTCTATGACACAACTTGTAACATAACGATTTCTTCCTCGGAAGTGAGGTTGTGGTCGAAGTAACAATAATATTGTAAGTAGTATTATATTGACACCCACCTCGCTGCCACGAGAGAAATTGTTATGTTATACGCTATGTCATGCAAAATCCTATTGGCCATCAATAAAATACATATTTTACTACCAGTAGAAAGTAGTTTTGATTTTGTAACTCGGTGAAAACAAACCTAAATACCATTTATCCTCAGACTGGCGGATGTTCCCGACAGGGCGCCGCCATTTTTAAAAATAAAAAAAATCTGTTAGAATTAATGAGATTATAGTTTGTTTTCATCAAGTTAGATAATCAAGACTACTTTCTACTCGTAGTTAAATATGTATTGGAATCATAACCAAACGGATTTTGCATGACACAACTTATAACATAACGATTTCTTCCACGGAAGCGAGGTGGGGGTCGAAGTCACAATACTGCGCGATAAATTTCTTGCTACATTCCCATGGTTAATGTCCACTCACCAGTATGTAGATACTAGTCAATGTGCGTCTTTATATTTGGTCTTATAATCCTAATTAGTTTATTATCATACTTGTATGCATTTTGAAACTAAATAAAAAGCAGACGATCTGCTGATACTTATAGTGAATTTATAACAGAACTGTAATATCTAGACATTTTATAGTTTGCCAATGTGAATCATAATTCGCACACACACCCTAGTGCATGTTGTCTGTCTCATTACACTTCACGGCGAAAACAATGATTCTGTTGAATGCTACGACAAATGAATAAAATCAAAATGCAAATATTAAAATTAAAACAGATTAAAGTTATAGGAACAATATCAGGCCATTACCTTGTTCGAGGAATGTATCCATCAATATCCACAAAACTGTTCCAAATGATGTGTCTTTTAACAGTTTAATATACGAAAAAGTGATAAATCTTTTCAGGTATTGGTGTATAGTCTCATTGGTCACCCAAGATAGCACACCTGGCAACTAATTGCATAATGTCCGCCTTTCTTTAAAAACAGTAATTTAGTTAGCCAATAATGGGCAATCAATCAATGTATTGCCGGTTAATCCTTTGAAAGAAGGACGTTGTTTTTACGCAGACACCGACACGACAGAGTGTATTCAGTATAGATTAGTAAATCTACATACATAAACACTACCTTTTGACAATTCCGCTGTGTAAGATAAAAGTAATTAATCAATCAGCGTGTTATCGGTTAATCCTTTGATCGATGTTTATAATGTTGAATATTTACTCCAGACACAAGAAATGCCAAATGGGAACCTTTGTCGGGTAATCTAAGTGTGTTACCACTAATTATACCTGTTATAAATTCATTAACTGACCATCAAGTGAATGATGACAAATAACATGTGTAGGTTTATACCACCTAACACGGGTTACAACAAGGGAGTATTAATTGCTGTATTGCATGTGAAAACTTATGGGCCGACACTGTTTTGAGAATACAAACAGATTTTTACATGACATGATTAAATATCGAGGTAAAAAAACACAGAAATGGGATCGATTTGGATCAGTCATTATACAAATAGGGCCTAACGACACCAATCGATTTTGACAGAATCGTCTATGAAAACAAGTTGTAACTCGGAAACTAGGCAAAGCAGGAGACAAAATTAAATGACAGTAGATTGTGAGAACATATAGCTTTTATTTTCCACAACAATTGTCACGATTTCAGGTTTATACAAGCCTGTAAACAAGATAATTTAACCCTAAAATGTAGATGAATTCTGCATCGGCCCTCAAAGCTATTCCTCATATGACGTCACAGAGGCGCGCCGCTCTGATTGGTTGAAATTTCGTTCGCGGGTGAGAATTGTGCACTGTTGTCAAAAGGTCGATTTAAGTCAATTAAAGGTCGAAATGAGTAGTTTTAATGACGGGTTTCATTTATAACGATGCCAGTTAGTGATTTATGTATTTGTACCCCTAGGGTTTATGTGACCTTTAAAAAACTAACTATGATATCACCGCCCTGTCGTACTAACCACACTATTATGCCGCCCCTGTCATACTAACTACACTATTATGCCGCCCCTGTCAAACTAACTATGATATCATGCCGCCCCTGTCATACTAACTACACTATTATGCCGCCCCTGTCATACTAACTACACTATTATGCCGCCCCTGTCAAACTAACTATGATATCATGCCGCCCCTGTCATACTAACCACACTATTATGCCGCCCCTGTCATACTAACCACACTATTATGCCGCCCCTGTCATACTGACTACACTATTATGCCGCCCCTGTGAAACTAACTATGATATCATGCCGCCCCTGTCATACTAACCACACTATTATGCCGCCCCTGTCATACTAACCACACTATTATGCCGCCCCTGTCATACTAACTACACTATTATGCCGCCCCTGTCAAACTAACTATGATATCATGCCGCCCCTGCTGTCATACTAAACTATCCACACTATTATCATGCCGCCCTGGTCATACTAACTACTGTTTATGAAAGCGTCCCCGTTCCTACCATACCTATTAGCTACCGCCCCTGTCAAACTAACTATGATATCATGCCACCCCTGTCATACTAAATGACTGGTGCTGCCGCCTATTGGCATACTATACCTATACCATAATTGAAAGCCCCTCGTGCCCTGTCATATTATACCACTATTATACCCCCCTGTCATACTAACCATTTATGTCCTATCCACTCGCCGCCCCCTGTCAACACCAGATGATCTATACCATCTGCGCCGCCGTCCATACTAACCACCACATGATCCGCTCCATACCGTCCTATTTGTTACTTAATCACATCATGCCGCCCCGCTCCAACTAACCACCACTATTATCGCCACCCCTGTCATACTCAACCTTACACTATTATGTTTCCTAGTCCCTTGCAAACTACACTATGTTATTATGCCGCCCCCTGTCATACTAACCACACTATTATTGCCCGCCCTGTCACATATATTTGTAATCGCAAACCTGGTCTTGACCGCCCTATTATGCCTCTACAACAATTTTTCGTGATATCAGCGTGCTGACTGCGCCCTGGTTGGTGGCATAATAAATTTAACTATGGATATCTATTATGCCGCCCCTGCTATACTAATTAACACTATTATGCCGCCCTGTGTCAAACTAACTATGATATCATGCCGCCCTGTCATACTAACCACACTATTATGCCGCCCCACAGTCATACAACCACACTGCTATGTGCCTTTGCCATACTACAAATATTCACTTTCGTTATTATGCCGCCCCGTCATACTGGCTGCGCTGTTAACACATGATCAGTTGTTTGTGATCGTTGAAAGAAAGTGTCGTGCCTTTACAGGAATTTCACACTCATGCGGCGCCGCCCCTGGTCACCGCCACTGATCATTAAAACCGCCCTCGTCCAGGTCATGCCGCCCCTTGTCATTACCTTACCTATAGCTGTTCCCATTAAATATTACAGCCGCCCCTGTCATAACTACTACCACACTATTATGCCGCCCCTGTCATGCCTAACTACACTACTATCATGCCGCCCTGCCAGTCATACTGAACAGCGCCTCTGGTTATACTATACTACCATGCCGCCCTGTCATACTAACTGACACACTTTATTATGCCGCCCCTGTCATACTAACTACACTACCATGTGGCCCTGTCATAAGGAACCATGCCTATCAGTATTGCCGCACCTGATCATACTAACCATACTATCATGCCGTCCTCGTCATACTTGAACTATACTACCATGCCGTCCTCTGTCATGCCGTTCCTGTCATACTAACGCATAGCTATCATGCCGTCCCTGTCATACTAACCATACTACCATGCCGCCCCCCTGTCATACTAACCAGTATCAGGTATCATGTCGGCTGCCCCTGTCATACTAACCATACTACCATGCCGCACCTGTCATGCTAACCATACTATGCCATTGCCGCCCGTATGAGTATAACAAGCTAATCATAACCATCATGCCGCCCTACCATAACTAACCATACTATCATTCCGCCTGTGTCATAATTAACCATGCCATCATGCCGACCATGAACGATAACTAACCATACTATCATGCCGCCCCTGTCATACTAACTCACTCATCATGCATGCCCCTGTCATACCTACCATTGTCTATCATGCCGCCCCCTGTCATACTAACCATACTATCATGCCGCCCTACCATACTTTTACTATACTAACATGCCGCCCTGTCATAACTAACCACACTACCATGCCGCCCGTATTATACTAATCCTACCATCATACCATCGCCCTACCATACTAACCATGCTATCATGCCGCCCCTGTCATTATATTTTACCATACCACCATGTCGCCTTGTCATACTAACCATACTATCATGCCGCCCCTGTCATTCTAACCATAACCCTATCAGGTAGCCCTTGGCGCCGCTAACCATACTACCATGCCGCTTGTAAGGATACTAATCATACTATCATGCCGCCCCGTGATTATAACCATACTATCATGCCGCCCCTGTCATATTAACCATACTACCATGCCGCACCTGTCATACTAACGATGCTATCATGCCGCCCCTTTCATACTAACCATACTATCATGCCGTCCCTGTCATACTAACCATCATATGCTTCCAAATAATCTGTGCCACATTTATGGTTGTACGGAAGATGTGATTCTTTAACAATCATTTGAATGATTTTTTCCAATGATCCAGTTTGTATCCTCCAGGTAAGATGGTATTTACTGAAGGGAATAGAACATTACATGTACATCATATATAACATTACTCTGGGCCCCATGAAAAATCGGGTTAGAATTGGTCTTCAGCAACCCATACTTGTCGTAAGAGGGGACTAATGGGATCGGGTGTTTAGAGTCGCTGACTTGGTTGACATATGTCATCATATCCCAATTACATGTATGCTGATCGATGCTCATGATGTTGATCACTGGATTGTCTGGTCCAGAATCGATTATTTACAGACCGAAGCTATATAGATGGAATGTTGCTGAGGGCGCTGAACAACAAACCAACCAACCAACATTACCCTGAGTTGAAATTTTATTTCTTTTTGTTTAAGGCCACTCTCAGCAATATTCCAACTATATGACGGTGCTGTGTTACCAATCAAGACTGAACGAGATAATCTGGTGATTGAAGGTATGAACATTTGTCACCCGATTCCTTGATCTTATGTCAAGCTTTGGTTGCTGAAAATCAATACTAACCCTTTTAAGTTACTTGAAGATGCTTTAGCATGATCTCTGAAGCTACTCTTACCTATATGTGTATCATTTATGCAATAATAATCTGCATCAGTTCTAATAAAAGAACAAACGTACCTAAACATATGTTTAATATTATAGTTAAACATTAATACAGAGAGTTACCTACCCTTCAAAATAGGTTGGATGCCCAGGAGAAAATATTTGGATTAAACCATCGTCAGTTACATCAATGTGTCTTTGGACTGCACACAAAGAAAACCCAGAAAGACTAGAATAATCTGATAAATAAACGCGTAGTTGCTGAGGTACAGAAATGATGTTATCATGTATGTCCATCACTAGGATCAGGCGCACCTTAAGATACAATCGAGCTTAAGTAAAGTCAAACTTTACCGCATGTGTAAAATCACAGATGACATGTGCAATATCACAGCTTTCATGTGCAATATCACATCCGACATGTGCAATATCATAGCCGACACGTCAAAAATCTTAATATACATGTACATCTGACCAAAGTCCCTGGTATAGCTGCAATTGTTTTCATGGATACCGTACACAGGATCAGTCTGCTGACTTGATCGACCAGTCTTTATCAATTACCCGATACCATGTACCTGTATCTTATTTTTAAAGAAAACATGGTACTTGATATTACCTTGCCTGACGTCTCAATTGAGGGAATTAACAGAGACTAGTCGGTATGGAGTCGGTATAAAGTGCCAGAGCTGTATACAATATGAATATGGTATTCTTCCGGACTGTCACATACTCGCACACAAGCACGCACGCACACGTGCACGCACACACACACACACCTCTGAATTACTTACCTTGAAAGTCACCACCGCTGTACATAAAATGGAATCCTCTGCCGAACACAAAGGAGTTTGTATTGAGCTCAACCCTCATATATCTCCCTGTACTAGTAATTGTGAGATTTTGCTGCCTCAACCTGCAAAGTACTTCCAGTTGTGAGCTGAATGGTTCGTTTCCTGAAACAAAAGTTGGATCAAAGTAATTCAAACTGATATGATTTGACTGATCCGTGGGGCAATTGGAAAATTAAGAAATACTAACACATACGCCCGTATGGAGTTTAGGTAAGAAATAGGCTCCAATAATCAACAACGAATGCTTGTCTTACGTTTGTAGGTGACTTGGTGCCATCTACAATATCACAGCCGGCATGTTGAAAATCACAGTCACCATGTGCAATATCACAGTCACCGTGTGCAATATCACAGCCACCATGTGCAATACCACAGCCACCATGTTCAATATATCACAGCCACCATGTGCAATATATCATAGCCACCATGTACAATATCACAGTCACCATGTTCCATATATCACAGCCACCATGTGCAATATCACAGCCACCATGTTCCATATATCATAGCCATGTACAATATCACAGTCACCATGTTCCATATATCATAGCCACCATGTACAATATCACAGTCACCATGTTCAATATGTCACAGCCACCATGTGCAATATCACAGCCATATAACCACCATGTACAATATCACAGCCACCATGTGCAATATCACTAGTGCATGCTCAAGGGGCTGGTAGTTTTGCCCTGGCACATCTTATTATCAATCTAAACTCCCTGGGGACCATACAACCCTTGCTGCCACAAGTCGCACCGAGTTATTGCGGCTTTCCCTTTCTTACAAGGTACCCATTCACAGCTGGGTGGACTGGGACACATAGTCACAATACTTTGTCCAAGTTTACTGCACGTTGCTGTACCCGCAACTAGGTGCTTGCTCGTATTCATGTGGCCACCATCTGGTCATGTACCAACGGATTCGTGGGTTCTTTTAAGTGCACAGGGTTGTGTACTGTACTCTAGGGGTTGTGACAACACTGAAAGCTTCTGCATTGACTCCAATGTTTTACTCCCGGTCACAGGTGGGCTCGATCCCGTCACCTCATGCCCGCTGGATCAGCCAGCGCGCCCACCACACCACCAGCTCGACCACCACGCTACCACTCAGTCAGTCCGTTCCATCAGCGCAATCATTTGTTTATACGAACAATCACTAAAACTACTCAAACTAACATTGTTCACCGTTAACAATCTGATCACAAATTATTGACTATTATACTTTTTCAGAGTCGTTATATCCAAATGTTGTTGCCATGCTACACATCCAAATACGTTGTATCGAAGTGAAGTGACCTACTTAAATACTTCAATTTATATAGAGTCAACATACCCTCATCATGGTGATCTTGGGTTCGTATCCCAGATTTGTCAGCAGCGAAGACCTGCATCTTTTCCAACATCCGACAAAGCGTGATGTACTGTAATATTTCATACACTATACGAACTGATTAACATATAAACATATTAACATACCGTCAAAGATCTTCACATTATCATCGATACAGTTGGACAGATTTAAAATGTTGACATCAAGAACGACAACTCGAACCCTCTCTCCCTCATTTGCTTTGATGTCCCATTTGCATCTGAGGTTTCTGTCATGAAAAAAAAATGAACATGAAACATTAATAAACTCCATTATTACCCCGGATAACCCAACCTGCCAGTGAGGCGCTAGGTTATTAGTCATATGACTTAACCCACCGGGAACCCATTTTCTGCTAGGTGAACAGGCGCAATGTTGAGGTTCTTGTGAGGCATATAGAAGCTGGTATTTAAGTATAAGACAAAATATTATGGATGTCACTTTCTTTCTTATGAGGCAATGTCGAACATATGTGGCAGACTCAATATATATATATGTACATAGTTTTAATTAAAGTTTGGAAGAATATATTAAGTATTAAGGTAGATGGCATTGTTTCCATTTAATTACTTATTCTAACATCTGTAAGAATATTAGGTATGTTTTATATGGTAGAATGATGAAATCTTAGTTATGTTTTATACTTCATTTTATTCTCATGCCATAGCTCTGCATAGTAAGCCTAGTAACTCTCAGTCTAACCTCCACTAATTGTCACACTGCATGCTTACAACACTCCTTGCCCCAGCTCTCGGTCAGTTCTATTGTTTCACTGATAGGCCAAGCTGGCCATAGCTTAAACTACAATGTAAAGATTTTAAACTCACATGTTGTCCTGTACTTCGTAAGGAAGGTTACCTTTACAACCAGGGGATATTTATAAGGATTTTAGGTAGGTTCATATTGTATAAAATGTTGTATATATATATATATGGATGGTTTCTTGTTTACTACAATAAGAAATATAATTTATTGTGTAAGTCAGACTTGGTTACTTGAAATATAATATATCTTATAAATGTGTATAGTTGAAAATGAACTATCAGATCACTGTGTTATTGTGAGTATGTATTGAACACAATTCTAAACATATCAACTAAATATATGGCAACGTTTAGGTAATGACTAGTCAGTATGAATGCATGCCTGTTTGTTTGGTATGTGTGAAAGATAAACACATACATATATATAAATATTATATATGATTCCATGTTTCATTAGTGTGGCGAATACAATTGTATCTTATTTTATATCATATCACTTGTATATATATATATTGTTTTCTTCATACATATTTATTTGTTATGCAGATCTGTGTTCATTCCGGAGAATATCCTCCTTAACAGCTTGGGTACAACCAACCTGGTATGTAACACCTAACCAGAAAAAAACCCTATATGTATACCAGAAGTGTATTTACTATTAGAATTTCCTAAAGGTACAGTATGTCTGTATGATCATTGTATATTTGTATAACTATTAATACTATGTAACATTATAACTTGTGACATAGTTCAGATGTATTCAACTAGGTGTATTTAATAGGCTTAACGACTGATCCACCATGTACATATTTTATGTGATTCCATTTAACATAGTTCCTTATGTTCTTTCAGGCTTTTTTTAACACGATCTTCCAGAATAAATGTATCGGCCTCACAACCCACAGCCGTTTGTATTCTTTTGCATGGATTCAAACAAGGCGCTGTTATATTGGAGCCCCCAGTGAGGACCCCGACGTTGCTACCGCCAACCAGTACCTTCATGTGAAGTTCAGGATCATCTGTCACATCGTCTCAGTGCAAGGTAGCTGTACGTCAGTACATGTAAGCGGCTATTGACTCTTATATTCATGTGATGACATGAACTGTTTACAGACATTATCAAGACTGTGCTTTTGCCTCGAGTGGATTTCTAGATGCGACGACACTGTGTCTTCAATCCTTCCACACGCGTGATGTCATTTTGATTATCATTTCTGTGCATGTGTTGTATGATAAGTTATGACATGTAAACCTTAATTTCAACAGGAGCGCTCCGAATTAATACTTAGTTTGCATCAGTTATTTAGTTAGTTAGTCAGTTAGTTAGCCGGTCAATCAGTTAGTTAGTTAGTTTTACTATCATACTTATTTCCCTTAGTGTCTTTATCATATTGCGTCGCTAGATAAGTGCAATAATCTTGAATGCGACCTTAACCCCCAACCCCCTCTCAACGTTCAGTACTCTTTAACTTTAGGAACATATTATATAGTTGTTCATATTATTTGCATACCAGCCACAGAGTGTTATATATATATATGGGTATGTGTGTTTGTGCATGCATGAATGTGAGTGTGAAGGCTATGCTAAAGCTAGTTTGACTTTATCACTTAAATTAGATATTTAATCCATCATAATATATCCTAACTAAATAAACTGTTAGGTAGTCTGTGCTAGATTACGTGGTTCATTTACCTATTCTTGTCAGTTGGTAACAAGCTAGTTGAGGTAATAGTTTTTCAGATACTTGTGTTGTAGGTTCTGCGTTCAGTGTTGTTTCTCAGATTGTTGGTGCTACTATCTCCATTAGTTGAAGGGTAAGGTACATTTCCCTGTTTTCGCCATACACAGATCCCAATTGCGCGCGTGTACATACAACCTGCACTGCAACAATTTGCACGACTAACACTTCTCATTAATCATTAGAAATACCTCAGTATTATACCCTATTTTTAGTTAGCATTATTTCAAGATTAGTCCATATCTAGGTATTTGTCTTAGGTACATTTGTGGTTAGAATATGTACATACTGTAGCAGTACAGATTTCCTTTGCCAGCCACAAGCTACTTTGGTTGGTAAGTTGCCAACTCATGACTTCCTTCGTTGATGGTTAGCCATCATTTTCTCTCATTAGCTTTCGTGTACACATCGTGGATGTGCACTTAGTGTTTTTCTAGTATATGTAACACTGATATATAGTGTAGTATACTAGTTACAGTGTAGCATCCATAGACAGTACCCATCTCGCACACTCGTATTTCATATCATTCGTTAACACGCATATTGATTCTATCATTATTTCCTGCGCTTCATTTCCGCCATACCTAGTAGATTTCCTGGTAAGGAATTTCACTTCACTTCAGAGATCAATAACTCATTCTGAATAATGGCAACACAGAATATGTCAAAGGAGGAGGTAGATCAGCTGGTCTCTTTTTGAAAAGTTAGGTTTACGTCCTAAAGCTGAAACTCCAGAAGACTTACTACAATGGATCACCGAGATTGGGAAGCATAGTCCTAAACCAGAGGAACCAGCAGCTTCTAACATCCATCCTCTACCTGCTACAGTTACTTTAGCTAAGTCCCACAACTACCTTACTTCTCAGGTGACAGGAAGGGAGATGCAGACTTTGATCAGTGGATGCATGAGTACACATGTATGTGCTCCAACTACTCTATGGACATTGTTTTGGAAGCAGTCAGACGTTCCTTCGCGGCAAAGCTGCCAGAGTTGCTATGCACGTCGACAAGGATGCACCACTAGATGCCCTCGTCAGCAAGCTCGATAGTGTATTTGGAAATATACATACAGAACATAACATCATGGCGCAGTTCTATATGGCCAAACAAGGAGACGAGGAAACTGTAGCTGAGTGGTCCTGTCGCCTAGAGGATATTCTTAGCCAAGGAGTCATCCTGGGCAAGGTCAACCCTAGCGACACAGAAGAGATTCTCTCGGGACACCCTTTGACTGGTCTTCGAGCTGACCTGAAAGATCTTTCCAGCCATAAACTGGACCAGGATGTATCATATGAGCAGTTCCTCAAATACCTCCGTCAAGTTGAAGATGATCTGCTGAAAAGGAAATCAATTTCCAAGAAGACGTATGCGACCAATAAACGACCGTCAGCACAGATAACCCTGAACTCAAAGAAATAAAGGGTCTATTAAAATCCATGTCTGCAGAAATAGCAACCCTCAAGGCACAAGTGGACAAGACCGACAGGCAAGGATACAATCAAAGTCCGGATCAGTCTTGTTCGGGTCAAGCGACAAGGTCAACAATGGCAGATGCCCCTAGGCAATGGACACGACCTCCAAGGACCAGTGCAAGTCAATCCTTTGGACGACCTCCAACTGGCCGAGGGACCCCAGTCTCATGCCATGGACCCCGGCCCTTTAAAGACATCCCAAGATGCTATAGATGTGGACAGCCTGGACATATTCAGAGGGATGCAGAGCAGTCATGGATGGAGACTCTTTAAACTACCCCAGGCCTATGGGGAGGGCGGACCATGGGCCTAGAAGTGTCAGCAATCAGCAGATAACAGTCGAGATGGTAGGAGATCCAACTGAGAGCACTGTAACCATTAATGGAGTCAAGTGCAAGGCTTTACTGGATACAGGGCAACCATCTCATCTATATCAGAGACATTCTACAGGCAGAACTTCCCTGATGTTCCTCTTGAACCCCTACAACAACTTCTACATGTAGAATGTGCCGATGGAGAACTCCTGCAATACATGGGACTAATTGTGGTGGACCTAGAAGGAACTGGAAGCGCATCTACCAACATAAACTCAATGTTACTTGTCGTTCCTGATAGTTCGTACAATAAGAGAATACCAGTTACCCTAGGCACTAACATTCTTTCTATCTACCTGAACCAATGCAAGGACCAGTATGGATCACGATTTCTGCAACATGCAGACCTGCACACACCTTGGTATCTAGCATTCCGCAGCATATTGATCAAGGAGAGAGAACTTGCAAGCGAAACAATTACTGTTGGGAAAGTTAGAAGTGCTGAACCAGGTCGCAAGATTATCCCAGCCAATAGTGAGATCCATCCACATTGCCGGCAATGTTGATAGACCCCTACCTATAAACTTACTCATGCTGTTGTCCAGCCTACCAGAGGATCATATATTCCTGACGACCTTGACATTGTACCCACCTTAGTATCATATGATGGAAGTGGACAGAAGATGCTTGTTGATGTACATATATCCAACCTTACCACTCGCTCTGTGTCAATTCCAAGTCGTGCCCTTCTATGTGAGCTACAAGTTGTGACGGTACAAGACACACCAAAGACCTCTTCATCACTGAACTCGCCTGAAGATACATCTGTCTTGGACCTCATGGACTTCAACGAAACAGCCGTTTCAGAGGAAGAACTTGCGAGGGAAAAACAAGTCATCAAGGATTACTTGGATGTATTTTCCTCAGGAGATACTGACTTGGGGACACACAGACAGGGTCAGACATCGGATTGAACTTACAGATGACAATCCATTTAAACAGCGTTATCGAAGAATACCACCAGCTATGTACGAGGGAGTTAAAGATCATCTCAATCAACTTCTTCTGTGGTGTCATTAGACATTCTCATTCTCCATGGTCTTCCAATGTG